TTCAGTGCTTGAAGCACCGCCTCTGGCGGTCAGTAGGGATGAAATAGAACAGCGCTTCCCAATGATGAGGGCTGACGATTTGAAAGTTTTGGGGCCTTGAGATTCCATTCAGAAAACCAATCCAAAAGCTGCGGTTTGTAGCTTTGATCAAAAATATGCATATGTATATATTTTACGTAATTGTTGAAACAGTCACTGTTGTGACAGTATGGAGAGAGACAGAAAATCTGTGAAATAAAAAAAAGTCAAACTCCTCTGCCTCCTCCCAGAGCTAACTAGAAACAACTAATGGTAACACTTTATTTGAAATGTGTGCATAAGACTGACATGACAAAGGTCATTAACATGAAGGAGTCTTCATGAATGTTTACAAGCGTTGTCATGAAGTGTCATTCGTTAGATAATGACGGCTGTCAATCACATTTTTTTTGTTTTGGCTGTTTTGTAAAGTTTTAGTTGAATAAAGTGCGACATCTGCCTTGAAGCTTTGGAAATCGATTGTTAAGGATTCTTTAAGTCGTTAGCCGTTTACGTTCATGCTTTTATTTTGAAGTGGGTGAAGAATGTCGCATCACCACGTTCTCTTCCTCCCAACCCCCAGTAACTTTATTTAAAATGTGAAACATTAGGAACAAAATAAGACAGACAGTACAGAACAACATACACAAACATAAATACCATATCTAGGGTTATTGACAATTTTCAAAGTATCTTTTTTGTTCCACATATAGACTACTTATTCAAGGTTGTAGATTGGCAAGATGTGAAAAGGTTTAACTATAGGACATGAGTACTATAGCAAAGGGACTGTATTTATGGCTGTGGGCCTTTTTTTTATTGTTTTTCTCCATGCACCATGGCTTCCCGCCACACCTGCCCTGTTTGAAGGGATGCCGCCTCAGCTGTGGAGGTGACGGTGCTGAATATGCAGAGCGGCAGATACAGAGGGTAAAGCACACATCACCCAGAGCAACTGGCTCACAATCAAACAGGAGTGGTTCCCTGCTTACACGATGTTCCGCTCCAATTCTCTGCAGAGTGTGAGCCACAGAACAAATTCTGGTCTGAGCGTGCGCCTTGCGTTTGGACTCGCTGACAGGTGCTTTTTTTTTCCTTCCTGCATCTCTGCTTGGGGTTGTGTTAAGCTGTCACAGAGTGCCTCCATTATGAACTCGCGCATCTATGGACCTTCTGTTAATGATTAATACATTACATTTCTCTCTGTGCATCGCTGAAGGCTGAGTGCCAGTGGTATCAAGAGTTTAACTTGGCAGAGTAAGCTTTGACACTCACGGCACTGGTGGGATGAATGCGAGGCCTCTCCATGGCGATGGTGATGCAGTTGAGGAAGATGATGACCAAAACGACATGGTCAAACATCTTGTGGGTGATGATCTTGTTGCAAAGGATTCGGAACCTAGGGGAAACAAAAAAAGTCAATTAGAACAGAAGAGTGTATTGAAATGTAATGTACTGTATTTACAGGGCAGATTGAAATCCGAATGCCTTGGTGCCCACCCTCTATTGTAAAGCAACTCGCATTGTGTCTGATGTTGGTGTTCTTCCCCATGTGGGGAGCCCAGACTAACACCAGGTGACCCCGTCTTCCTAATCTGACCAAGGTTCCCCAATCTGTGTTGTACCATCATCGAGATCATTGAACCAAAACCTTTCCAAAGCCAATTTGCCAATTGAGACTCAACCAGAAGTTGGGTGTCCAAGCAGCGTAGGAGTCGAGATCATAGAAGTACTAAACCACCATGTGAAAGTGGAGATTCTTCCCAAGATACTTGAACTGTTTTACTTGGGGTAGGACCTCTTCCCCGACCCAGAAAAGGCACTTTACCCTTCTCTGGCTCAAGACCACAACCTTGAGTTTGGAGGCACTGACCCTCATTCCAGGCTGCTTCATACTTGACTGCGAACCGCTCCAGCGACTGCTGGAGGTCACAACACGATGAAGCTAACAGGACCCATGGTCTGCATAAAGCAGAAACGCCATCCTGAGGCTCCAAAACGGATCCCGTTTAAAGGTATTAATCACATTTGAAAAGCTTCAGCAAAAACTTCTACTTTTGTTCTCAGTATTAGAAATTTGTGGTAATGCTGTTCAACATCTTAAAGGGGCAGTGTTATGTAAAATTGAGTTTCTTAAGCTTTACATCGTGTTATACTATTCCCTCATCAAAAACCTAGCGATGCCTTCCAGGACAAAGCTCCTCCTCTGAGCTGCCGTTTTCAAGCTTCAGAGCCTCAAGCCTCACAGAGCAGCCCTCTCCTGCGACTCCTCTAGTCTCCTTCAGACTAGCCAGCAGCAATTAGCAAACACTTGGTGGAAATGCGCATCTGCTGAGTTCATTATAGGAGCCATTTCTCAGAGCAACGCCGGTAAAAACGTGGTTAAAGGGTTAATAGAGGAGCCATGTTGTGATGACTTCCTGAAGGCAGAGTTTCAGAAAGAGCAGGAGCTTCTTAAAGCGACAGAGGCCCAATTTCAAGACGTTAAATTATAAAGCCAAATTTCCTTTAAGCCCTATTTGATATATGCAGGATTTTATAACAACTGAAGTTAACATACTTACTGTACTTGATTGTGCTATAAGATGGTTCTATGTGGCTGGAAAACACTTAATCCTGCCCCTTTAAAATAAATCAGCAGCATGTCCAGGTAATTTATCACAAAAAAATGGAAAAACAGAATGCCAGATCAGTTTTGCAGCTGTTGAAGAAAAGCACATCCGAGCTGATGATGACATGAGTTGGATGAACGAGGCATTACTTCCAGTTGATGATTTTAATTAAACTCATTTGAAGCCTGAACTCTGTCGCGAGTCATTTTTGGAGTGATTCTGCACACACTTTTTTCTTAATTTAGATTCATTTTTTATTTTTAAACGTCAATTCCTGCTGCTCCATTGCAAGTCCAAACAAGTAACAGTTTCTCAAACGCAAAACTGCTAAAAAAATTTAAAAAAATCCTTATCTACTTTTTGCTCTGATAGAACAGCAGCCAGTTTTACTTGGCAAACCGCGTGGCGGTTTATTTCTTCCCAGTGTTGTAATTTAGACTCTCATTAAACTTTATATGAGCATTAAGCAGGAGGAGGATCGAAGTGAAATTAAAATGTGGAAGCAATCCAAACGGAAAATATATGTTCCTAAGATTAAAAGTCTCTAAAACGAGAAATGCTCTCCTGTCCTGCAAAAGAAGATTTACTAAAACTAATTGACGACACGCCAGGTTCAGAGAACAGGTGCGGATTTAGGTGCCGTTAGCTGTGCGAGACGGCAGCCAGGCTGCAGGCTGATGGAAACAAGCTGAGAGATGCAGGGAAGCGACTGTTTTACACGATGGAGTCAGGGATTAACCCGGGAATCAAGCGAGATTTGGAGCCTCATGTGGGTCTGAACGTGCAGCGGGGGCTCCGATCTGGGTTTTTGGCTTTATTTGGTAACACAGACATCATTGTGCCACCACTCGCAGAGTCTCGCATGTATGCGTGTGTGTGTTGTCTCCCTGCGCTTTTTCATGCATTATTAATATCCGAATGCCAGAGGCTTGATTATACAGAATTTATGTGTTTTTCTCAAGTGGCAGAGGAGGGAGGACACATGGCTCCATCTCTTCCTCTGAGGCTCAAAGGGCAAATATCTGGAAGTGAACTTTAGCAGGAAACGGCTCCACCTCAAAACTCCCAAACACACAACAACACACACACACATACACACACACACACACACACACACACACACAGAGAGAGAGAGAGAGAGAGAGTTCATTTCAATGCTAAAGAAACAAAAACAACTGTCACTGGATGCTCAAGTGAAAATAACACTTTCAGTCAGAAGTCATCCTGATAACAGGAAGTGAATGAGAAACAGATTCTGACAGGAGTCGGAAGATTTCACTCCAACCCACCTGCCCCCCCCTCCTCACTCTCCTGAGCCTCCTGACCTTTCCGTTTTTTCCGGCGTCAAAACAAACCCTCCTGAATGACAGGTGGTATAAAGGTGTTTGATAGCCATCACAGAGAGTTTCGTGCTTTTCCAAATATCATGAAGCGTATTAAAACTCAAGAGGAGAAATTGACAGAATTTAACAGAAGTCATTAAAAAACAACAACAACAATAACAAACTCGAGATGTTCCAATTGGATTCTAGGTATTCGGTCCTGATCTTTGCTTTTTAAAAATGATTGTTGTTAAAGTCCAAAAGCGCCACTCTGACACCTGGAGATCTGTGTAGTTCTAGATTTTAGATGGAGAATTTTAAACATTCACAGCCTAATTTGGTGTGCGCGGTTTGGAAAAGTGCAAATGAGGCAATAAACACTTGTTGATCAAACCTTGGATTTCTCCTTTGAATCTAACTGTGTGGCAGACTCGGTTCATTTGGGACTTGAAATGGCAACGTTTGTTACATTTTCAGCTGGTGCGGTTTGTTTCCAGACACTATGAGAAAAACCAGTTCCCCTCCTCACCTGTGGTGGCACTGCAACAAGTACTACTGAAGGAAATTACACAAAAACCTCTCAACAACTTCCTTCTTCATGAAATGTAACCAAAAGTGGAGAGGAGTCAGATTTTAGTGGTAGTAGGATTTCTCTTTTGTCTCGGACCAAAATCCAGAAACCATTTCTCCTGCGAGTGCTAGACTCACGTGTTTGTTTTGGTTGCATCTACCCAGAATGCCCTGCACTACAGTCCACTTCCTGCTTTTAGAGAGGTCTCCAGGCCACTTGGGTTCACATGTCCATTCGGACCGCACCAGAATTCACTTCAACCAACTGAGTAAACGAGCCAGCATTAGCCTAGCACCAAAGCAAAACACAAATTTTTATAAAGCAGCCATTTCTTTTTATGTAAGTTTTGCTCATTTATTACGGTTAACTGGAATCAAACCAAAATATTCAGAGAGCTGAGTTCTGAATTACTCAAGTGAAATCAAGATGGTGGACACTAGCATTAGGCTAGCCTGGCCCAAAAAGCTACATTTTCTGTTGATAACAGACAACTAAAGATAAAATAAAGTTTGAGAAGCCTAATTTCCCATGAATAATTGGGAGCTACGTTTCATAGAAAAATCTGCAAAGAACGATGACTAGGGAGTCCACTGCAGTAGTGATGTTAGAGAATGAACATGCTAGCATTAGCACTAACGCAAAGTACAGACTGTGGAAAGCAGGGGATCGTTTTCTGCAGGTTTTGTCTGATTAGAAATAAATAATATTTTGACAATGCTGTGGAACCACACTGAACTAAGCAATTAGCTTAAGTATCAGTAAAAAAAAAACACAAAAAGTAAACAGTAAACAGTTAGCCTTCCATTAAAACAAAGCTTTGAGTTTCCGATTTTTGACCCATGTTGGGATCCTCTTGATAAAAATATCTAAACTGAAATGTTTCACCAGATCAACAATAGCAGCTTCACTCAGTGAGCCCTGAATATCCTTGGAGATTTTCTATAGCGCTCGGTCTTAGTTCACAAGATATTCAGGAGGTAAAATAACTCGGGGTCCGGCTCGCAGAAAGCAGAGACTATGCGCTCACTCATTAAAAACTTCCCCAGTAATTGGCGGAAAGTGCAACGTGCACAAAAGGCCGGACAAGGTGAACCCGGGTCAATGTGAGAGCAGCTTGATCCCAGTTCCCCCGCTGCACCGCCGCTGGCTCTTGATGAGACTGTGAGTGCAAACGGGCGTCTGAGTCGGGCAACACGTAGAGCCGGAGTCCTCAGTGTCACTCTGAGCTCAACGGCCCACTGCGACTGAAAACCAGCCACGAATCCACTTTGAGACCAGCTCCTTCTGTTTGCCTAGAGCCCCGACAACAGCAGACCCCAGGAGGCGTTTCCCCATAAACCCTTTCCAAAATGTATGCAACAGAAACCAGGGAGCTGAAGCATCCAGGTCTCTGAAAAGAACCGAGATGAATGAACTTCTGGTCATGTGTATGGTGAAAATTGCTTGACTTCGAATAATGAATTTGTCTTTACTGTACCAAGACACGAGGAAGTACTATTTATTTAATTTGTTAAAAACATTTATCTGCTTAGCATTTATTCTCTTCGCTCTGATAAAAAACAAAATTATGAAGAAAACCACATTTTCATCATGTGTTGTGCATTTTTCTTTCCGGAACTCTAAGTTTGTGGGTTTTATTGTGATAGAGAAAAGAAAAAAAGCCCATAATAATAAGTCATTCCAAGGCTATTTCCACCTCTGTTGTGGCATTTACAGCCCGACAGGAAAACAAACATTTGTCAGCAGGAAAACAGTTTTGAATTCAGAAGCTGCAGGAACCTGGATGGCTGCGTGTGAACGCCTCCAGACAAATGCAGCTTTTGATCCTCTTTCAACAGCCTGTTTGCTTGATTTAACATCTAAATGAGCTCAAACACAGCTCAGCTAACAGGTCTGCAGAGATATACTAAATGATGTCATCATAGTGTTATGGTTGATTTGAAGGTTGAATAAAAACCCATGAGCCTGAAATATGTGGCGCCGTTTTTAAAGTGACCCGGTCAAAACAAGGCGGCAATAATTTAGGTTATAAGATAACATGTCATAAAATAAATAAACGGGAATTCATTTTTTAAAGACATGTTCTCACTACATAATTCATTACTTTATAAATGCCACTGTCTCACACTAACTGTTTAATTAATAGGCTAAATATTTAGTTAGCAACCTAAATAAGATAAATATTTATTTTGTTAAACTATTTAGTTCCAAGTTAAATATCTAGTTAAATTAAATGTTGAAGTTAAAGACTAAATGCTTTGCTTATTTAGCTCATCAAGTAAATATCTAGTTAGCAAACCGTTTTAACTATTTAGCTTGCAAACTGAATAAGCTAAATATAAACGATGAAGGTGTGACATGAGTTTATATAAATATTCACATGATCCAGTTTTTATTTTGGTAATCCACTTCCAATTATCGGCAAGTTAATTTGCACATTAGCTAAATATTTAGCTTAGCTTCAAAATAAATATTTGGCTTGCTAACTACATATTTAGCTTGGAGTTAAATGTTTAGTTTGAGGCTAAATATTCAGACTGCTAACATATATCTAGATTCAAAATAAATATTTAGTTTCGATCTGAACATGCAATTCGACGCTGAATATTTGCCTAAGTCCAAATAAACAGCTTAGCTAAAAGGTCTGCAGAGACCTAGCAAAGCTAAATTGGCATGCTAATAAATATTAGGCCATAAAATAAATATTTTGCTTAGAGCTGAACATTTAATTTGAAGATAAATATTCAGCTTCTGAACAAAATATTTAGTTTGGTGCTAAATATTTAGCTTGCTAATAAATATTTAGCTATAAAATAAATATTTGGGTTAGAGCTAAATATTTAATTTGAAATTAAGCTTGAAGTTACATTTTTAACAAAATATTTAGTTTAAAGGAGCATATTTAGCTTGCTAAACCTGCAATTTTTTTCTCTTAAAACAGGCTAAATAATCCATAATATTGCCTTTTCTTTTGCTGTATAGTTGTACAAACGTCACCCTGTACTGACAGACACTGTGGTTGTTGCAGCGGTTAAAAGGCAAAGTTTAACAACTCAAAAATATAAGTCTATATTTAAACTGGAGGCTTATGAAACCTGAAACTCTTAATGATGTTGAAAAGATACGAATGTTGTTCAGATATCATCGTGGTGTAATTATAGGAAAACAATTCATTGACTTTTTTTGTAGTTCAGAGCAAAAATGATGGCGGAGGAGTGTAGACTGGCCGAGAAAACGCGACGCACTCAGAGGGAAAAACTCCCCTCCTCCCTCGGCTGCCGCTCGCTCACCCCTGATACGGCAGAAATGTGCAGATGAAAGAGACTTCTGAAGTGTGAGTGTGGGAGGGAATCGGAGTTGATATAAAAAGGGATGAGTGAAAAAAAAAACCTGATGCATTCATGTTGCGGAAAAATGACTTTAGAGTCAGCACTATGGAATGTCAGTCGAGCCCAGCGATAAAAAAAAAAAACCTTTTCTGGTCAATTGGAAGATTACATTTTATCAGTACATTTTCAGATTTGCTTACTTTGTGACAAGATTTTGACAACTTTACAGTTGGAATAGAGATTGAAAAACTTTTTTTGTTGTCACAGATAGGAATCTGCAAGACTCAATGGAAAGATTTTGACAAAAAAAAAAAAAAAAGGAAAAAAAAAGTGTACCTGGACTCTGGGGGGAACAGGTAGAGGGACCATGTGTCTCTCTGCCGACACCATGCTGGCTGCTTCTTCTCCATCCATCGGAGAATCCTGGCAAAACGGCTCTGCACAGAGGAAAACATGCACAGGACATGAGTCATCCAGATGTCCAGAGCTTCCTGCTGGATAAACCAGCTTTACGAATAAAAGAAGTGACCATCAGTACAAATCTGGTAATTGTAAGCTTGTCATAGTGTTCAGACTCCAACATCTCAGGAGGGCAGAGTTAGTGTATGAAGGTAACTGCAGGCGGAGACTAACCTGGTTGACCTCCTCCTCTGCGTTCTCGTCTTCTGTGTTCTCCTCCAGGGAAACGTTGGTCGGGCCCAGGGCTGACGGAGTTCCCTTCCCGTTGCAGTCGCTGTGTTCTGGAGGCCGTAGGTGGGCCAGGGAGGGGGGCCTGGAGCTGTGCATGCTGGCTGAACGGTGCAGGTAGGGCACCTGAGTGGATGAAAAAAAAAAACATGACGGTAAGTAAATTAGGGACTACTTTTGCTTAGCAACCCAGAACGGGAACATTTACTTTATATACTTCAGAGGAACTCACCTTAGATTAACATTATCAGAACAGAAAACCATAGAAACTCCTACTAGTTTATACATTGCGGACTACTTATTCATGAGGAACTAATATGTAGTGTTATACTTTTTCTTCTTTTGCTCTTTCCTTTGGTTTGCTATTTTATTTGTATTTCCTTCTAATTCATTTGAATTGCCTTTTTGCTGAAAATGTGCTAAATAAATACAATTACCTTATCCTTTCTAAGTTCTACACATGCAGATCTACAGGCTTCTAAAACCAAAGGATAGTCAGATCTGTTGTACATGATACATTTTAGTGGCTGTAAGGAGGAAGCGAAATGATAAAATAGTTTTCAGATGCATTTGCATGTCCTTCGTCCATCTTCCTATCAACTCTGAGTACCTTCTGTGTCCCTGCTGTCGTCATGGTGATTTGGAGTGTTTTGCATGTAGGCCTTTATCTAACCAGCACGCATCAGTTAACATATTTATAAGAAAAAAGTATTCCCCATCAAATGTGTTTATATATTTTAATTAAGACTTTAACATGTTAATTTTGACTAATTAATGACATAAATGTTAACGGGTTAAAATTTTCAACACTGTTAATCATATTTATTCCGTCCGGAACCAATGTATTCCTTTGTTTCTGGTACAACCATAAAACCCGATGCACAAGTGACATCCGCAAACAACAGCAGCTTCTCTTGGTCCACTGAGGGTTCATTTTTACTTAAAAAAAAACAAAACAAAAAACGATCTGATTGGGCGCTGGAAAAGACTGTGTTCAAATTGTGCTAAAAGGAGTTAGCGAGGAAGTCTAAAGTAGCATCTCAATGCTAAACATGATGTAGCAAGCGCATACGTTGCCAATGTTAATGTCGTTGTCCACATTTCTAGAGAAGATTTTTTTTCAAAGAAATTACATTCAGGGTTCCTGAATTGCTTGAAGGTGGAATGTTTATAACAGCACTTTGCTCCAATCTGTTGGCTGAAAAGCATAACAATTAAAAACAACAAATATCTTTGTTTTTGAACTCTACTTATTAGCAGCAAAAATTAGTTTTCTATTAAAAGGACATCAATTCCTAACAGACCCTGCAATTAACTGATTCTCACCACTAATTTAAATTCCTAATGTCTTCACTGAAAGCAAAGTGAAATCAAAGTCACATTTCTTGTTTGAAGCCAATATTTCCACATGCTAAATTTTTTATACGACACATCAAAAATGATTTGTATCCTTCTCAACAATCAACGGAAAACTCTTATTTGGCATTACTACAATCAAATCCAAGATTTATGGGGTTTCCTACTGGTATTTTCACAACTTGGCCATGAGCTAAAAGTCTTAGAGGTTGGAACATCTCCTTGTCATCAACCTAACTTAATCTTTCCTCGTTTTACAAGATAACTGCTTTAAACTGCTCCACAACATTTTCCCTGACCTGTACGCTGGGTTCCTTGGTCTTCACTGTTGATTCTCCACAACCTTACCAAGCCATTAACATTTGTGGTTGTAATGGGACAAAATGAGGGAAAATTCAAGAAGTATGAACACTGTTAAAGAAGCTTGTAAAGTCAAACAGCTTCAAAAACTGCTCTACCTGCAGTAAGGCCTCAGGAGGCAAATCCATGGAGCTCCGAGTTTCCACGGACTCCATCCTCCTGTGCCGCGGTCTTCCGTGAGGCTGCGACATCGAGTCCGTCCTAGGAAGGGACGTGTCGTCTTCATCCACCAACCCGCCTCCGCCTTCTCCTCCACCGTCTCCTTCATCGGAGCTCGAGTTGCCCTCCCCGGACAAGAGAGACCGCCGCTCACCAGACTGTCGTTTCTGCCGCTTGTACGATGGTGCACGGCTCAGGCTGTTCCAGCTGGACCGGCGGCTGCCCCAGCCGCTACCGGTCGTCCACTGGCCGTGCGGTGAGGAGCGGGCGCTGGTCTGTGGAGACAGCGGCGCAAGAGAACGACCAATGAGAAAAGTCTTCACGACTTTTCTGTTTTTCGTTGGTTAGTTGTGTGGTTTTCTTGCATTTCTGGGCACCTGACCTTAATAGAGCTGTTCTACAATGTGATAATCAGAGCTGTGACTCACACCAGCTGCATTTCCATAAACCATATAATTGAGTCGTCTGACAATTTGAAAATAAATTTGTTTTGTGGGAACACCCCGATTCCGAAAAAACTATAAAACTTTTTATAGAAGCTTCTTTTCTATAAAAAGTTTTTCCACCAGGATGAGGTGCTTACAATAAATTGGTTTACTTCGCAAAACTACAATGGAAACACTCTTTTTGCATCACACAAATCACGTGATCAACAACCAGATGTTGCCACTGGTGCAAACCACGAAGAAGAAAACAACAGGAAGTAGCTGGAGGATTATGCGCGGCATGTTTTTGATAACTTATCACATGAAAAAACTTATTCATGTGTGATTTTAATTGAGTTTCTTATTTCATGGAAACACCGCAATTGCAAATTTCCGTTTCACTGACATTAGCGGAATTGTCCATGTCCAATTGCCTATTGTCAATGGAGATGCAGCTACTGACATAGATAGACATGAGCACATGGAAGATTGGGATTTAATCTCTCAAGTCTTCTTTTTGATCATCAGCTTGTCACATAGAGCAGTGATTACAGCCAAAAGCAGACGGCCGGATCGATAGAAGACATCAATCATCGTCGCTCATTGGGAAGAGACACACACTCAGTTGAGACACTGTGGCCACAGCCGAGTGGAAGAGGAGGCAATTTCTTGCTGCTCGGTTACATCCTGGCAAACCTTCATCCCAAAAGAGAACTGCAAAGCGTAGGGGAAAAGAATAACACTCTTACTCACAGGAGATTTGTCAAAGCAAGCTGGGTCCATGGAGATATTGCTGCCTTGACGAGATTCGTAGCCCAGGACGGGGTCACCAGCCACGGGCAACTTGGGGACGGGCATGGGCGTGGCAGCGGTGTGGGTGATGAGCGGTGGAGTCAGACTGGTCTTCATTTCCACGTGACCATTCACCGGCACTACTGTTGAAGAACAGACAGATGGAGATTTGTTAGAGTCTATGAGGATGCTCATACGTTGCTTTATTTTCTGAAAAAGAAGGACTTAAAAATGGAGAATCTGTAATTGTAGGGTAACACGAATACATCAGCACATCAGCGATCTGATGGAAGGAACATTGTATTTGGCAGCAACACCAATGCAGAGCAATAGGAGGGTAATGCAACTTTAAAAATGAAAATTTTTCCTTTGTGGTTTGACAAAATGTTGGATGGTAAAGAAGTGGGTCTTCCAGCCAGGTACGCAGCTTTATAGGCGCCTGAAGAGACAGACGGGAAGTTGGAAGTTGCACTGCTTACCACAGTGTTTCCATTTGCTTTCCAGGCTGCTGCCTGAGCAGCAATAAGAATGGATGGGAACTGGCACACGAGTGGTGGATAAGCTGCTGTTCTGGTTTGAGGATGACCATAAAGACAGCAGGCGGGGAATAACTGAGGTACACCTTGAGGAAACAGGTTGTCCAAATAAAACTTTAGCACACACGTAGTGCAAGATGTTTTTCACATCAGGCGGTTCACATCGGTCCTCTGTGGCATTTTATGTACAGTCAGTATATGTTACTGACGATCGTGGCTTACCTGTTGAAGGCGACAAGTCCTTTTTGCTGCCATTGACGTCTTCCATGCTTCGTGCAACAGAATCAATCTCTGACCCGGTTTTAGAAGCGTCCCCCTTGTGAAATAAATGAGTAAAGGAGATATTACAAAGCAGAACCTGGTGTTTTGTCAGGCCAAACACAGAAGAAGGTTTATCATTACCACAAAGTGGAATGGAATAATAAAACATTCGACAGACTGAGGTTTGCTTACTAAAGATATTATTTTAATTGTGATATTTAAGTCTATCTGTTTAGAAATTATACCTAAATCAGTTCAAGCATTTGTGATACAGCAACTCCTAAATACAGCAACTACTCCTAACTCTAACGTTGACATGTGAAATTGAATGTCTCCTCCAAACCTAAAACTGTGATGGATAAATTTGATAAGATGTAATATCTAAACCTTACTGAGTATTAGTGGTGTCCAAGCTTTTCAAAGTAGTTGTGGCACCTCACCCTAAAGATGCTGTCACACTGTTTTGGTATATACCGTACGCACAATGAGAAAATAACAGTTATTTGTGCAACACGTTCTCCAAGTATTTGCTCCGACCCAATTTTGCTCCGACTGACGGAAAATTGGGTCGGCTGACAAACGCAGCGATCAGAACCCGTTAAGGTGGCGCAGATGGCTCGCGATTCCCTGAGGTCTGTTTTGTCTGCAGCTGTGCAACAAATTGACGGGAATGTCATGAGTGACAGGAAGTGAGGTACAGTGGCAAAGTAAGACGCGTCCGCTTCGTGGGGAGGGGGAATTCAACAAAAATATTAAAAAAAAAAAAAGTGGCAGAGCGTTCTTGTTTGAGTTGCTTTGAGTTTATTGGTGTGGTTCCGGTACATACTGTTGGACTGCTGAGTCATGCATAAATCTGGTCAGAGCGTGAAAAGCCGGACACAAGCGTTGTGTTTTGGGCCTTATTGAGTTATGGTGTCTGTTACAAAGGTCCAGCTGTGTAAAGAGCTGCTGTGCAAGGAAAACTGAGAACATGGAGCAAATGCCCTGACATAACGACAGGTTTCTGAAATTCCTTTATTCGTCACTAAAAACTACACTGAGAGCTTTTGAGTAAGGAGAAGCTGTTTGTCTATTACAAAAAGCAAGCTGGATGCTCTTCAAAGTACTACTCTTTAAATTATCCTCCCATCAGCAGAATCGTTTAGGGATGAATCTCTCGCCTCTGTAGCTGCTCAAAGTATTCTCTACTTATCATTTAACTCGTCCTTCCTCACTATCTGAATCTTTCCCCCCCCATGCTTCTCCTCTGGTTACCTCTTCCATGGACGGATTTCCTCTCTCAAATCAGTGGAAATAAAAACAACTAGATATGTCGCTTGTATTTGTTCCGCTTCGCTGGCGCTGGCAGATATTATTTTAAAGCGGGAGAGGATGCCACGGTGGACGGAGTATTAATGAAAAGCCGGCCCAGTGAGTCAGACCTCTGTGGTAGCAGAGAGAATAAACAGTAGGTAGAAAAGCCTCCGGACCAAACCGCCATGCATCACCTCCTGAACTGACAAATTACTTTCTTGATACTTCCCACGAGCCAAGAAGAAAAAGAGCGTATGAATATTGTGCGTTCTGGGTTTTCTATTCTGGTGATCGCATTTGCATTTTCTTCCCAGCGATTAATGCCACTGCATCGTAAACCCCTCATCTGATTTGCTTGACCTGGGAAGCTTGGGGGCTGAGGAGAGGGTGCGGGGGGAATGATGTAGCAAGAGTGGATGGCAATGAACTGGTGGGCCAATCAACTCAAGGGCCACTTCGACCCTTTTATGGTCTCTGTAATCATGCATTTACATATTTTAGAGGATTCCTTGCTGTTTCGAAATGTGGGCTCACAGCAGGACATATCAAGAACCCGAAGATATCTTGCAGTCGCAGCTGCGTTAGCTTATGGGTTGTCGAGCTGAAGTTGGAGAAGACATTTTCAGACGTTTTTTCATTGATAAACATGTATTTTAGGTGTTTTCACTCCATTATGTTTGAAATTTATAGTGTTTCTCTCTGTGATTGTTGCGTCTATGGCTAATTCCTTTCCTTTTTTCCCCATGTCCAGGTGGTTCAAAACAGAGAGGTAGCCAGTTTTTATGACAACTGACTGGCTTTCCCTAATTGTATTATAAGCCTGGCGGGCCATGAGGCTTTACTCGTGCCCCCACCAGGCTAAGAATTATTTTATATTAGGATGAAGAAACTGAAGTTCAAATAACTGACATTTATTTTAATTGTATTTTGATAATGTTTGCTTTTTTCTTTTTAAGACTTTATAGTTGGTGTTTAGGTGTTGTTAATAAAGTCTTCTAAAAACACATAATTACCAGGTAATATTTTGAATTTTTCTGTCCACTTTGAATATTTTTTCACTCAAAAACCCGGTGGGCTGCTGGATGGCAGCCCTAGCACCAGGCGTGGCAAGTTTGAAACCCTGAAACATCTTGTAGCGGGTGTTTCTAACGGAAAATCTGTGGAAAACCTACATAAGAGTCTCAGGGCATACCGTTAAAAAAAAAACTCAACTTTTTTCTTCAGAACTATTTCTTAAGTCCACATTAAAAACATAAAATTAGCTCGGCTCCTTTGGTAAAGTTTCTTGAACTTAATTGTTGTTCTAAACAAGAGGGTTAAAAAAATTAACTGACTGATAGATGTACAGATTAGTAGGCAATGATAGAAATTTAGCAACAAGCCCTTGTCTGTATACTTCCCACCTCAAATATGACACTGCTGTAGGACTGAAGAGCTGCTTAGTCACAGACTCCTGCATCCTAAGTGCACAAAGTAGCATCAACGTAGATCCTTCCCTGCTACTTTTAACTTGCCTCTGGTACAACTGACTTTACCCACTCTCAGACAATAAGGGATATTTCTGGTTCTGTATTTCTAACTAAAATACAGCTCTGGAATATCGAGTAACGCCTTCTTCAACAGCTCTAAAGTTTGGCATGATTGAAAGGTGCACTGAGAAAGAAAATAACCTTTGATTATAAAGTCAGTAAAAACGGTTTTCAGGCTGCTCATTATTTCACTTCATCAAAAAGAAAAAAAAAAGATGCATCCTGGTAAATATTTGGGATCTATTGATTGTTTTCTAATCCTGGAGCTTTCTAATGTTTTTTTAATCAATGTGGAAAGATGAAAAGATACAAGTTAAACCGGAGTAGGAAGATGAGCTCCAAGGGAGTTCTGGTTTAATATTAGCCTTGTTTCATTGCTGAGAACATCGTACACAGTGTTATATGGCTTTTATACCCAAGTGCCTCATCCACAGCGTAACATTCAGTTTACTGTCTGCTAAGGAGCTGATGATAAATAACCAAACCGAAGGAGCAGCTCACTGTTGTTATTTTTCAGCCTGTTTTTGTAAAAAAAAAAAAAAAAGAACAGATAGAATATGTCTTATTATGTGAAATGCCTTCCAGCCAGCCATGATCTATTATTTAGTCGTCAAACACCAATTATTGAAGTCCCATCTGGTATTTAGTTTGGAAAATTAATTTCAGCAGAAATACAGTCAGCGGCAAAAACAGGCTATGAATTTTTCATTCTGGAGTAGCGGGTGTTAGCACACATCAGTAAATGCTTTACTCACCCTGCATTCAGAGTTTTAGCTGAAAAGATCAGATGTAGACATGATCTGTGGGGGGAGATCGGAGGCCGAGTTTACCTGTATCTCCTTGTTTACACTCTGCCACCCCCAATTTAGGCTCGGACCTGCGAGGAGGAGATGGGAGCGCTCGCTGGCGGGCCCTTCGATAATCGAGAGCAGACGCGAACGGGAGGATCTCAATTACATTTCTTCAAAAAGAAAAAAAAAAAAAAACGGGAGCCAAAGAGCAACGGTTGATAACAGGAAGCTGAGTAATTGTTTCCGTGTGTGTGCATGCCCACTAAAAGTGCCACCTGTAAACGCAAACTTTTAGATTAGTTAAAAATTGGATTTAAGTTTAAACAAACCCTTTATATTGACATAAAATACTGAACATCGCACAAATCAGGGAGTGTGATTTTAGTGGTCCAAATCAAATGGCTCACCGTTGCGTACGATTTTATTCCAATCGCTTTCCGACATATTTGCAAAGATTCGCAATACTCCACATGAAACCGGCTCCTTTAAAGGACTAGTTTGTGAGTATATACAGTATACAAAGAACACACATTTCTAAGGAAAATGCGAAACATAACCTCTAATGACTTCTAGGGCTGAAACAATTAATCGGATAAATCCATTTTTGAAATAATCATCAACTAATTTAATAATCGATAAATCATTATTTGGAGTATACAGACTCTAAAGCAACACATTCAGAGCAGTAAATAGGCCAAAAAACTGTGTGAGAAAATCCACATTTTGCATTTAATGTCGAAAAAAAACAAACTTATTTGTAAATATTTTCTACCCAGACCTCCTGAAGTACTTTTTGCTTCATCGGATTCAAATTCAGTAAAGAAAAATCCTTTAAGCACCTTTTGCTATCAAATTATTAATAGTCAATAGATCAGACCTGCACTGCAAATGCCTGCTTTGATACAAATGATTAAGCATTCGCTGAAGAAATGCTGTGCTAATGTATTTTATAAAGCACAATGAAATAAAAAAAAAAAATTATAACACTAACTTGTTTATTTTCTTACTTAAAAAGTAACTGGATTATGTGTCTCTGCATTTTTATTAATTTATTTCTAATATTGAAGGAAAAAATATATATAAAATATGGACGACGTAATTTTTTTAAAACCAGATTGTCAGAATAATCAATTACTAAAATAATCGCCAGCTGCAACCCTAATGACAGCGGCCCTTGTTGAGCAGCACTCTGTGTTCACTCAAATCCTTCAGCAACTGCGTTTCCATTACAAATGTGCACAAAACCTTTTTGATATTCAGCTAATGTAAAAAAACAAAACAAAAAAACACTTTCTAACTAAAGTACAGTGTTGTGGTGTTTCCAAAAAATATGTTTTTTTCACGTTATAAATCATGTTAAAAAATGGCGCACCATCAGCCTCCTACCACTTTCTGTCATCATCTTCGTCTTTTCTGCCAGTCGTAACGTCTGGCTGTCAATCGCGTGATTAAAGCATTTCCACTGCAGTTTTGCATGATACACTAATTTTGACACGGCTGAAAAAGCAACTTATGCTAGTGAAAAAACTTTATATAGAAATACCATTTTTTTCTAATTAGGGTGCTTCCATTAAACATTTTATTTTATTCTCATAATTCCAATTTGCGCAGCTTGTAAATGGAAATGCTGTGATATCAGATTGATCTCACGTAGCACAGAAATCTTAAAGAACAAGAGGAAAATCCTAAAGTTATGGTCTCATCTCTGTGAGAGGACTGGGCAGCTCTGGATTTATGAGCCGTCTTCTTCTGAACTGGCTGAGTTTATCTCACTTTGATGGGGGGGGGGGGGGCTTCCCAAAAACATAAATAAATTAAAAAAAAAGTTCCCGCACCACATTTCCTACTCTCCTCAACTACAAACATGAGTTTGAAACAGGGAGATTTCTTGCCATTGCCAGCACAGAATTTGAACAAAGATGACAGTCGGAAGAAAGCGTTGCTTGGAGTTGAGCGTTCAACATGAGGCTTGATATGGAGTCTGCTTTTAAGGGAGAACAAAGCAAGTCACACAGCAAATGTTGGAGACTTGGCTATCTCTTCTGAGCTCAGGTGAGCTCAGAACTTCAGTTAGTCTCAGCAGCAGTAAGGGAGCCATGCAGAGAGCAGGTTAGAGGATGGGCAGATGATGGGAAACATGCTCCGACAGCCTGATGGGAGATTTGCTTCCTGCGTCTGGATAGATGGCTGACTGGAAATTGCTTCTGCTCTCTGTCACCACTATTATATTTCTGTCAGTCACATGGCAGCAGCAGCTCAGTGCCTTTAAGAATCAAGATATGGTAAACATGACTTTTAGCCTCAAGAGGAGGATCTATTGTGGTTTTAACACACAACGTTCCATCAGGTTCATGGACAATGGTCCAAAGAAAGAGCAAATATCCAGAATCTGTATGTGTGGATGGAAACATCTCGATGTCAGAGTCAGAGTGGTTTGAGATGACTGAAAGTGCGACTGACCTCTGGTTAGCAGATGGGCTATGAAACTCAGATGGGCTATGAAACTCTGGTCTGATGAGTCTGGAGTCCAGATGACATTTATACTACAGGCAGAATTTGGTGTGTAGAACATAAAAGCATTGATTTATCTGGGTTTGGTTCAGGTTGATGGTACTATAAAGGGATATTTCCATGGCATACTTTAGGTTGCTTAGTACCAGTAGAGCATCGTTGAACCACCACAGCCAACCAGAGTAGGTTCTTCAGGATGCGGTGGGAGCTCAGTGTAGACAGAACCCAAGATATATTATGGGATTCAACCTTCTCATTTTAAGAGTTATTTATGTTTGGAATTTCATTTTCTAAGAAGTAAACTGGTTAAATATATTGTTTTAAGTGAAAACCTTGTCACACTGATGTACTTGGTGCAACACAGACAACAGAGAATATAGGGAGTATAACTTTAGACATTATCCGATAGGACTAAGTGTAGCTCTCGACTTACTATTTCTTCACTTTGTGCATAAAGGATGACAAAGTGGAGAAAACTAACAGCAGGCTCTCCAGAATGTTCATTTCAAAATCAAATTTTGAGATTGAGATTTAGAAGCTTTGGTCCAAAAAGAGGGTTGACCTGCGAATCGGTCAACCTCTGCTTCAAAACTATGACTTTATAAATGAGAAATGATCAATAATATTTTTCCCCACATCCTCACTTGTGTTATTAGTCCTAATTAGACTGTGTCTGGGACCGAAACCCTCCTGGGGAATAGCAGCGTTTTGCCTTCTTATCAAAGAGCCAATTATTTGCTCATCTTTACAGCTGCTCATCTTTTCGACTGATTTATACACCGAAGAGAGAGCAGCGTCCATTCAAACGCCTTGGAAAAGCTCCCATTCAGTACTCTACTGGATTGGACTGGCAGGAACAAAGATTTTCGAAACTTTTGGGGAAAAAAAATAAAAAATAATTCAAAACTAAATCCTGCACTGCTCAATATCACCGAGAACAAGTTAGAAAGGTTTTGTTTTCCAATAAGGCTAAGCGGTCCCCTGAAGGCTCTCGTGGCTAAGCGCGGCTTAGAGCTGCATGTTAATATCTACATTAATGTCTGCTAAATATTAACCTGTCAAATTAACGATGCAAAATGGCCTCCACAATGTTATTCATCATTCTGTCACGAGTGGAAACTGGCAGTCGAGAGGTCTACGGCGTCGCTGCAAAGCCGCCGTAGGAAATGATGAGGGGAGGAAAGGGTGAAGAGGGATGGAGGGAGGGTGGAGGGGGCAGGATGGTTAGTTGATTAAATGGAGAGAGGGAAGGGAGGAGAGGCAGAGCTGTACATACCCCTGAGTCTACAGGCAGTTGAATTAGGCTCAGCTGGGCATGCAAGTCCTCCCGCTTGGAAATTTCCTTTTAGCGGAAGTGGCCGGAGAGAAGAAGAAGAAGAAGAAGAAGGAGAAGGAGAAGAAGAAGGGGAGATGAGGCACGGAGGAGAGGAGTGGAGCCACAGCGGTGGACGAGAGCAGAGGGGAGAACAATAAAGATGATTCAACATGTTGGAAAATGTTGACTTCATCCTGCTGGAGAAAAAATCCAAGTAGACGGCCGGGGCCAGTAAGCCACTTGTGGAAGCATGAGAAGTGAGGGCAGCATAGAAACAGCACAGCCATGTCGTACTCTAGAGTTAACCTGTGTGATGTTTAATGAATGTGGAGGCTTGTAAGACAAGGAATCTCATTTAATGTGCGTATAGAAACAGCTTCTGGAGATAAAAATCAATCCTTTATTATGGTGGTATAATCTCACATTGAAAAGTTTTTGGGAAAAACACTGGTGGAACAATTGTTGGTGCCCTAACCTGACCAATTCCTTTAAAAAAATGTAACTAAAGCATGTTTTTTGTACCTTATACTTATTTAGGTTGACGTTATTTCCTCGGTACTTCTAACTAGGAATCTACAGAATCTACAGAAGCTCATTCATGTTATCAACTGGCCACAATACTGGACCAGGACCAAGATTTTGTTGGCGGCAGCACACAGTCAGAATGGTAGGAATGGTAAAAAAAAAAAATTAAAAAATCCCAAAACTGTCAGATACTGTAAGAAGTGGAAGCTTAAGGTTACAAATTACCTGTAGCAACCATTAAAGTCTATCTATACGGCAACCGGTTGTTTGGGAGTGATGTCTGCAGAAAGCAATCTTTTCTATCAGATGCAATCTCACATAAGATGGAGCTTTTTGCCTTTTCGTGGCGAAAATGATGAATGGACTTGTGGGAAAGAACCTCGTACCTTATGTTACTTACTGTGATGGATCTGAGATGCTGTAAGCCTGATTCTTTCCTGGACGCCGTTTTTACTGAGCACTGCATGATCAAGTCTTTTAAATACCAGCAGATTTTGATTATATATCAGCCAAATTACACCAATAAAATGTAAGGGAAGAAAATGAAGCCGACAGCTCAAAATCCCTAAGAGAAGTGAGTTCATTAAAGTTTGGGGTTTGTAAACGTAAAAAATGGGCCAAAATTGCCCATTGATTCAAAATGGCTGCCTCCCTACACATTTTGGGACAGACTTTTTTTCTTGATTTGAGGGCATCTATAATGTACCAAATTTGAGATCTCTACAATATTCGGTTTGGTCTATCTCAGTTCAGGGGGCGCTGTAGAGCAAATTGGCCTGGTTCACTTTTGACGCTATTAACCCTCCCACAGACTGTAGAGATGGTGTCATTTGGACCCCACAAGCCGTTTACTCTATGCGACGTGTGCTTTTCAGATTTTTTTTTTGTTTTTTTTTTGAGTATGTCGTTTTGTGAACTGACGGCCTGACGGCACACTCCTGCCACCTGCTTCTCTGCTGTCCAACCGTCACTTGCCGCACTCCTCCTGAGCTTCACGCTGAGGCTGCAAAGTGTTAAAGACCTTTAATTTATAATTTAATCTGGGGAAGAATTTTGGGTGAGTTTTCTGAAATGTTTAGGTCCCCACACGTTTGCATCTTTGGGGCAAAAAGAGAAATTAATTGTACAATCATGATCGGCCTTCATGTTGCTTTCAATCCTCAGGTCTAAAAAGTGGATAATTTATTTATTTATTTATTTATTTTTAATATTTGTGTTCATACAATAAGAATCTTATACCAGGACAACCTAGTGAAATGTTTTAGGAGATTTTATCCTATTGACCAAATTGTACAAAGTAACAAAAGCCTGGATACCAATAACTGTGCCACCAGTTTCCACTTGTATGGACATTTTTTTTCCTTTGTTTGTCTATATTGAGTATGTACTCAGAAAGGTACATTTATTCAAAACTGAATGGAATTCAATTTTAGTACCATAATAAAAGATGAGTATTGTTTGTCTTGTCAAAATCTTAACCAAATATGTATTCATTTGCACTGAATGTGGATACTGCAAGAATATGCCTGGGTGTGACATGATTAATTCAATGTTCTCTCTGGGGTTAAAAAGATAAAAAATCACCAAAAAGACATAAGTCAGCAAGGTTGCACTCGTTACATTGGACACTGTACAGTCACATGGGCACACTGCTAGAGCCTGAAACAGAAAGATACTGAAGAAAAAATGGTAGGTAAAATGAGAATGTATTTAGATGAAGGTTGGAGGCTAGTTGTGCCATATATAGCAGGAAAAGGGTGGATCTAATGAATAAAAGAAGCAAAATGAAGATTAAAAGTAACATCTTTACAGAGTGTGGCGGTGTGTGCGTGTCTTGGCACCACAGTTGAGCACATCTCCTGGCCGTTGCCCACGTCATTCAAGTTACCCGTTACCTGGCAACCCTGACGCAAGGAAAGTTTGGCTGACTAAAAATAAACTTAGTGTTAGCAGAAAAGGATGTTAAGATGAAAAAAAAAAAGAAGTAAGGGAGAGTTAAGGCAACAGCTCTTCCCTGAGGGAACCATGGAGATTCTCACACTTAGATGTTTGAGTGTACATGAAGGTGTCTGTGCTTTTTTCTTTTTTTTAAATTTAAGTTCTACCCTAAAACTCATATTTTATTCACATTTGTAAGCTGCAATAATGTCCAAATGGAAGCTAATACTTTGAAATTGTAAGACAAACACATTTTACTATGTCTATATAAAAATATAGTATTCGGACAAAGCTCAAAAGTTTTAACAAAAACACTTAAATATCCTTGACGCACCAGAAGGTGGCGGTAACATCAACAATAACGGCGCAGAGAAAGAGCGGGGCTAAAGCTAGCTTTGGTCCCCAAGAAATTTTTGTAGGTCAGGCTTTCTTTAAAAAAACGTCAAATAAATAAATGTGTTTAGATATTCTGTTCATCATAAAGTGGCACATAAAAATTACTAATATGTGGATATTTTAACATATGGCATTACCATTCAAAATGTATCTTTGCTGATATTTTATGAATATTATTGGAAACATTTTACTGTAATATTAAACACATTTCTTCAGACAAAGCAAAAAACAGCTGCAGAATCAGTGTGAAATCGGAATATTGGGTCATCCCTTTTCTATTCTCACTCTTCATAAACCAACAGCTGAAAGTGCCGTGGATCGAAGCAGAGGTCCTGTCAAACAAATGAAGAAAGAAAATGGCAAAGGCCTGTGAATGAGTTTTCATTTTTTCTTTTTAAATCATAGTTCCTTCCCACAGCTGTCTTATTTGATTGCATCAAACTTTACTCAGACATCTTTGTCTCCTCTCGTTTTGCTCTTTACAGTCTTTCTCACAAGGAAAACGCCGCGCTCCGTAATACATCATAGTTGTTTGTGTGGCATTTAAAATGACTTATGAAAGAGAGGCTAAAGTTTACTGATGACAAAAAATAAAAATAAATAAATAAATAGAACATAAGTGCATGAAAGCCTTATGTAAAAGTGTGGATTTGGGCGCCGTCGGATCTCGTCTGGTCAACATAGTTCTCTCATGACATGTTGCAACTTTACGGCATTGGAAAATAAGCAGAACAATAACGAGGATTAATGAGTGGGAGGCGACAAGGCTGATGGAATAACAGACATGAAGCAAAAAAAAAAAAATGAAACAACCATTGATCTTCTATCTTACATCCAACTGCAAAGAGTGCAAGAATGTCTCGTCTGTTTGCAGCTATAAACACTTATCCATTACCACCGACTTGTGCCAAAGTATTAATCTCCAACGCAGGTTTTTCTGGGAAAAGTGAAGAACTTGGAGCCGAGCTGGGTTATTCTGACCTGAACGCTGCTAGCTGTGAGCATAAAGTTTCCTTCGCATTCTTTCTGGGCTCGGTAATTTAAACCACACATGCAGTTTTTACCTCGGTCTGGAAGCCTTCCACTAAGATGGCCACCAGCAAGTTGAAGAGGACGTAGTTCCCAAAGGTCATGAGGGCGATGAAGTAAAGCGCCGCTACCGGAGACGTGGAGGCCATGCCGTTGTACAGCACCTTGTTCCAGTCCTCCTGGGTCAGGATCTATACATGGAAGGAGAAGAGGATTTAAAAAGTCAAACCGGAAGAGTTTCAGCTACATTTGCCTTTGTTGTTGCTGCTTGTAACAAAAACTGCAAACTTTGGTGTCTTTTACTGGGATTTTTCCATGTAAAGTCGTTTTGGACAAAGCTATATTCAGGTGTTGGAAATGGTCCAGTTAAAGTGCACGTCTAAATCCAAGACAGGGTCTGAAAATGTCTGCTTGCGGATGTTCTTTGTTCAGTCTAACTGAGCTTTAGCTAACTTTAAAAAAAAAAATGAACGAGAAAACAGTCTCACTGTCTATATTTGCAAAGACTTGTATCTGGTACTGCAGTGAAATCCAGCTCTAAAGACAATAGACTTCAAGATATTGTGGGAAAAATGTAAAAACTATGTGTCGCTCTTCTGTAACCTAACAATCAGGCACTACTTTGTGTTGCTCCACTGCAAAAAAAACACAACACATTTGACTATCAGCATTAAGTCCGAACTCCTAGACATCTTTTCCTTCAGCTGACTGAAGTCGACACCTGTCACCTTCGGTTGATTTATTGATTTATTGATTTACATAGCGCTCAACAAAAACCAACCAAACAGTTTAGAGTAAAACTCTTATTACAAGAAAAACAAAAAAACACAATAAAAACAATAAAAAGAAGAAGAGAACCCTCTACGTTACATGGTATTAAAGGACTGTCTAAAGCAGTGGTCCCCAAACTTTTACCTGTGAGAGCCACATGAGGGGAGGGATGGGGATGTAAGTTGCTACTTACAGGCATTGCTTCGAAGAATTCAACCTGGAATGCGGCGTTCATACACGTGTGTTCATCTGCTCTACCGCTAGCAAACAACCGTACTGATTAAACAACATAAAAGTCAAGCAGTTCCCTAAAAGTCCAACAGATGGCAGCAATGCGCCATGCAAAACAAAAGAAAGCCTGAACTACATAAATTTTGTAGCTCAGGTAGCAACCGGAAAATAAAATAAATGAAAAAAAAAAAAATCTGAATGCTTTCTGGGATTGTTCAGGGGGCCGGACCAAATGTGGAGGCGGGCCGGATCCGGCCCGCGGGCCGTAGTTTGGGGACCCCTGGTCTAAAGAAACAAAGTTCTGAGCTTTGAATTAAAGGTGACGATTGTTCCAGGTTGAAAATGGCCTGTTTAAAACTTCCTCTTTACAGATTCGATATTGATATATTACAAGCAGAAACGACCCGAAGGCGCAGAGCTATGGCTAAATGACTGACTTGTATCAAGAACATGAACAATGTCTAAACCCTGTGCATCCAGACGTCACCGTTTTGGTGAAAACTGTTGAACTTGTTGTAAAGCTAAGCCACATGTACAACTGGACGCCTCGGTTTGAGCTGCCTAGAAATTATTTGTTCCAGTTCCAACATTTTAGCAGCAGTTTGAGCTCATTCTTCTGCACATCTGCCCCTCTTGACGGGGTAAAAACACTCTTTTCAGTCATGGTGAACTTCAAAAGATATATATGCAGACAACGTCGCCTTGAAGAAAAATGGCCCCCCATCCATAAATCTGAATCTGCAGCTAAGAATTTAGCACTTTCTACAAAAGTTTTGCCAGTCATCAAGAAGCTCAAAGCCAGAGGGACAAGATAAGATTCTGGATGTTTCAGGGAACGTCCCGACCGAACCGCACGGGAAAACGGCCTCACCTGAAACACGGTCACTATGGCCCAAAGGAGGGAGTCGAAGTTTTTTCTGTCCGGCAGCGTGTCTCCGTCCCTCTCAGAGCCAAACTTGCAGCCGAACAGATGCATCCCCAGGATGCTGAGGAGGAAAACGGGACAAACACAAACAGGAAGACAGAGGACAAATATTTACATCAGATGCCCGTAGTAGATTCAGGACAAATAAACGGAGGGATTTCACTGGCTGGAAATGATCTCCGGCTCGTCCTTTCAGACCAAGAATGTTGGACGTTTTTGTTTATCCCGTTTGTGATTTTGTAAAAAAAAAAAAAAGAAAGAAAAAGTCACCTGATTTTGAAACTTTAACTAGAATTCTCCAATATAGTTAGAAGTCCCCTGAGTTCCCAAGTCTGTGTGACAGACTGGATGGGACTGGAGCTCCTGGTTGAGTTCAGCACCATGGACAGCGTGACCGTCCATGAAGCATCAGTACTGCTGCCCTGCAGGACGCTGGGGCCGCTGCAGGACACTGGGGCCTGTAGTGGGTTCTTCTTCGTCTTTTCCAAAGCATAGTGATCCATGGTTGTTGACTGTGTAACTCGAGCGTTTTCATTGGAGTTTTGCAAAATAAACTAATTTTAATCAAAATAAAATAATAATGTTTTAAGCAAATTTATTTTCAAAATGTAAAATTGTCTGAAACCGATAGAGAACAAATTCAACATTCTTAAATATAATTTCAATAATAAATGCAGGATTTTATTTTTCGTGCGTATTGAATTTCTATGGCAAGAGAAGTTTAGTAGATCTTTGTCTTTAGGTTTGTAGTTCTTTTTTGTTCTTTACATAATTTTTCAAAAATATCCACATCCCACAAAAGAAGATGTGTGTGTGTGTATTCTATTTTTTCTCCAACTTTTTTTTATGTTTTCATTAAAAAAAAACACTATAAATACAAGTAAAAAAGTAGTTCTTTAAAAACAAAATTCAAATTGTTGGTATTTCTCTATTTTTCCCTCCCAAAAGGTCACATAACTTTCGTGCAAGGTGACCTGCTCCAGCTCTTACATTTTATGTTAAACTCATTTTTGTCCGTTTATCACAAAGAAGTCTTAATAAAAACATTAAGAATTTTGGTGCAAATTTAACAAAAAATACGTTAAAGTTAATTAGCTTGAATATTCAGCACATGCAGATTCAGACTAGAAGACGAGACGGTCGTCTGTCTGCCGTAACATTCGCCGTGTGGATCGGCCGGTGAAAAAGACGGCGGCGAAACAAAAGCTGCGGAGAGCAGAGAGGCCACGCTACATCAGACAAGTAATTGTGGGTGTTATTATTATGACACAGCAGAGGCTCCGCTGTGCAGTCTGCCTTTTATTGAGAAAAAAAAACAGACAGCGGAGCTCAACTAGAGCCGAGGGATCAATGCAACGCTGCCTCCGCTGGCTCAGCCTGGCAGCTGCTCGTTCAAATGGAGCTCTGTTTACGTGCGCGCACACAAGAGCTGCCGGATCGCTGTGTCTCCGTGTGAACGGCCGTGTTCGGGAGCGTGTCGCGTGCGTGCGTTACGCACCATATGGTTACAAAAACCTTCACCCTTAGCTCTCAAATTTGATTAAAAGACAAAAAAAAATATTGTAGTTCCGAGCCAAACACCTAAAAATCCTTAAAGTGTAAAACACAATACGTCACAGAATCCATCTGCCTGTCGTCGTTTCTTTCAGCAGGGAATTGATTTCTTTGTTGACTAAAAATAATTTTTTAAAAGGACGACAAGTGCAGCTGGTTATTAGGGATGCAGAAAATAAAAGGAAGATTAGACAACAAAGATCCTCATTCACCATTCTGCTTACCTAAGACTTATGAAATATGAAATATTTAGACAGCAACAGAATTTTTTCCACGGTGACAACACTTATGTTGTTTCTTTTGGTGCAAAATGTTGGATGAATCAGATGAATTTCCATACAAATTATCAGAAATACTAGGACAGAAAATGCAGCTTAGGAAGTTGAAATACATAGAGTAGATGCAAATGTTGCTTTACATCCTATTGGCTGGTGTTTTCAAGGGAACCAATCCGGAAGCACCATTTATTTTCTTTCTTGCTGACTGGCTGTAGCCCCAGGAGCAAAGACAGAGAAGACTTTAGATATTAGCTAAATATTAAGACATATTTGATGCCTGGACTATTAAAATAAGCAGCTGGAAACATTTTTGGAACGGGTCTGAAGTATTCACACATTTTAACCATTCTCAGGCAGATGTGTTCCTTGACCCCCATGAGTACAGGGGGTCACTGGCATATTTTGTCCATCTTGTTTTGGTCCTACAACCCCAAACAAAGCTGAAAATAAAGTCATAGTAATGATTCTTAAAGCTATAGCAGCACAGACATGCTGTATTCTTTCTAAAGTCAAGCAAAAGTTAGAATTTTATGCTGGTTAATGTCGAATGGAAGAACCAGATTCATGTCATTCAAGTTACTAATTTACTAATGAAGGTGTTTGTCTTCTTTTGTGTCTACAGCCGCTGAGTGCAAAGAGACTCCATTTTAAATCCCAACAGGGCAGAAAATGACGAGTGACAACTAAATCAGAGAAGATGACTTTGGCGCCTTTCTCCATTGTCATTTAATACCACTGGGATAATACCACGATAGCCAATCGAACGACCTCCGACCTCCGCCTACCTGAAGATGAAGATGAAGAGCATGAGCAGCATGCAGAAGGTGGCCACGTTGTCCATGGTCTTCATCAGCACCACCAGCTGCCTCTGCAGTGCCGGCATGAAGCGCACCAGCTTCAGGACGCGCATCAGCCGGAAGGTTCTCAGCACGGACAGGCCGCCGCCCTGCTGGCCGACGATCTCCCAAACGCTGCGGGTAAAACACAAAGAGCACCAGACACACGCTTACTCTCTTGTAAGGACAGGGATCGATCCGTTCTGATCTTTCGATCATCGCCAGACGTCGTGCGGTTTGGTTAACGAGGTGCATGGTCCGTACCTGATCACCACTATGATGCCGTCAAAGATGTTGTAGGGGTTCTTGATGTAGCCGAACGGCCCGTACACCAAGACCTTCAGCAGCATCTCCAGGGAGAAGAGGCTGGTGAAGACGATGTTGCTGATCTCCAGGGCGTTGGTCAACTCTTCAGGCTGCACAGACAGAGGCAAGGCAAGCAGCTGTTTAGTGCGCCCTGAAATATTTCACCTGAACTGAAGAGAAGAACAGAACGATGTTGGACGAGAGCATCGCTGGAAACTTTATTCACTCGTTTTTAAAATTGTAATGGATCAATTACAGATGAAATTATGGTTGGAAGCTGCACTGTATGTACAATCTGGGTTGTAAGCCGCATATAAGAGGGACACATGCAAACGGAGAGATGATCATTTCTGCAGCGGGCAGTCGGTATGGCAACAAGGACATGCAGAGACACACAGAAAGAAAGGACAAAAAGATGGACAGAAAGGAAAATGAAGGAGACAAGAAAAAATGAGACAAGGAAAGATAAAAAAGCAATGAAAAAAGAGGATAATAAAAGTGAAAAGTAGGAAAGAAATATAAGAAAGTTGGTATATGGATGGAAAGAAAGGACACGAGAAAATGGATACAAGGATACATGGAAGGATGGATGCAGGGAAGAAGGATCATGGAAGTTAAGGAAATTAAGGAAAGAAGGATGGAAGGAGAAATGAAAAATGCAAGAAAGGAATTATGACCCAAAAATGAGAGGAGGAATTGATGAAAGAAGAAAAAAGGGAAGGGAAATGGAGGAAAGATTGAAAAAAAAGAAAAAGGAGACAAGCAGAGTTAAAAACACAAAGAAAGAAAATGGAAAAGCATAAAGGAAAGGGAAGAAAGGGAGGACAAGAAAGAAGAAAGAGAAACTCCAGAAAGAAAGAAGGTAGGAAATAATTAATGGAAGATCACCCAGTGAAGGAAAAAAAATGAGGGATAAAACAAATGAAAGAATGGAAGAAATGATGACCCAATGATGGACAGGATGAGGAGAGTAAGGAAGGCCAGAAGGTACATTTTAAAGAAAATGTTTAATGAAGAATGTTTAGTAGGGAAAAGGAACAGGGAAAGAAAGACCCAATATGTCGACAACTAAAAAAAAAAAGACATTTGGGAACAACATGTTTATATTAATCTACATTTTCTACAGTCATACTTAAAAAACCCAAACAAACCTGGAAAGCACTTATACCAAATTTCAGACTTTCTCACACCATGCAAGATTCCTGGTGAAACGACGAAAAAACATCAACACCTGCTATGTCACACACACACACACACACACACACACACACACACACACACACACGCACGCACGCACACAGACACACACACACACCAGGACACACGGCAGCGACTTCGTACTTTTCAAACAGGACAGATCCGGCCGGGTTTCTTTCCCCTGCATACAATAAATACACCCGACCTTTTGTCGATCACAGCGCCGGCGCTGCTCAGAGCTCACCGGAGATCTCAACTGCCACTCACATCTCCATCAAACAGACTGTGTGTATGGCTGCGTCTGAGTGTGTGTGTGCGTGTGTGTGTGTGAGCGTTTGAGGCAAACAGGCAACGAGAACAAGCAGACAGAGAGATACAGAACATGATCCCCGAGATAAAAGGCGCGGCACATCCAAATACGACAAGCTATGGAAATCAGACTTCTGTAGCGAGTGTCTGTAATTATCGACGAGGAGAACAGAGCCGTCGGGAACGCCGCCGTGCGCCTGTGGACGGCGGGCTTCACGCGGCCTTTCATCTGTGTGCAATCAACTGTTTACACAACTCACAAGCAGCGCACCGCACACACTGCACATGACCAGGAGACCCCGATACGGGCTCACACGTTAGCCATCAAGAAATGTGCATGAGTGTACAAGTGTGAACATGCGACTTTAAACAGGGTGTCTGTCTAAAATTAAGGCCTTAAAATGTCAAGTTCATTAGAAATCATTTTTAAAAATTGAATTCGTTTATCTACGTAGTTTATTATTCTCATGAGACTTTTTTGTCAGGCAGAAGTTTGAGTCGCTCATAGACATTGCTGCGTTCTGTGACTCGAGGCATTTTATTAGCTACTAGCATACACTTGCTAGCTAGGTTTTTGCATCTTTCATAGATAAGTGTAAATTTATCGTCACTTTGATGGACGATCTTTGTCTGTTGAGCTGTATGAGTAGCACACAAACATCTTCAATGTATTTTATGACTCCAGGCAGTTGATGTTACCGCTAACTATCTGCTAGCATACCACTGCTAGCTTTTTGCCTACATCATCGGTAAGTGTAAATTTATCATCAATGTGTTGGACAAGGTTTCTCTTCTGAGTTGAGTTGCACTCAGTTCTCTTCATTACATTCTGTGACTCGAGGCAGTTGATGCAATCATTAACGAGTTGCTAACATGACATTTGCTAGTTAGCTTTTTGCGTCTAACACGTATAAATGTACATTTATCTTTAGTTTCTTAGAGGATGTTCTTCTGATCTGTTGAATCACACACAGACCTCTTCACTGCATCATGTGACTCAAGCCAGTTGAGGCTACCAGTACTTTGCTAGCATACCCTTGCAAGCTAGGTTTTTGCGTCTATCCTGGCTAAGTCTAAATGTATCATCATTTTGTTGGATGATGTTCATCTTTTGAGTTGTTTGAGTCGCATGCAGACATCTTCATCGCATTCTCTGACTCGAGGCATTTGAGGCTACCACTACCTAGCTGCTCACATACCCTTGCTTGTTAAATTTTTGCGTCTATCGTGGGTTAGAGTAAATTGATTGTCAGTTAGAGTAAATTTATTGTCAATTTGCTGGACAACGTTTGTCTGAGCCACTGGATCACTTCTGCTGTCAACCCCGTAATACACGACATGCATTCTGCGAAAAATAGTTTGGAGCTGCCACTATTTAAAATATGCCAACTTGCTTTTGTACATTTCTGTCACGAAATGTATATTTCATTCATAATGGTTTTACACAGCTCTTAACAGGCCTTGAATCTGAGTTGATGAAACTTGCAGAGACCCTGTTTTAAAGCGCCGCTTACATTTCTACATTCTCCTCCGTCCCCCGTGCTCAACTGGTAATGTAATGTAATGTAAACACCGCGCGTGTCATTGAATCCAGCATGGTGGGCTGCCACTAATCACAACACGCCGTGACTGTTTAGGCGGGGATTACTCAACACTTGCGTTTGTACACACAGGGAAGGAGAGATACGGAGATTAGCATCCGCTGCTGAATAACAGCTCCTCCTCAACCGCCAAGGCACCATTTTGTCTCCAACGCATGAGCAGCAGAGTCGGTTGGTGACGATGACACACTGCCATTGCTGATTTCAGTCATTATTTAGCTCATACAGCTGGAAAAAAATTTAAAAATTCCAGTCTGGTTGAATCAAATTCCAGAGGGTCCGTTCACACCAGATCAAAATCATACCGTGACATTGATGAAGGAATGTGTCCAACTGTGATAAAGTGGTTCAGTTTGAGTTTACCACTTGTCCCTTATTCTTATTTCTGATTAATTTCATTTTCTACAGTTGGTCATAATTTAACTTAAACATTGCTCTTGTAACTTTGCTTCACTCACTATTTACTCACTATTTGGTGTTTGTTTGTTTTGCTTTTTGTTGGTCTGTAATGTTTGTTGTACATCCTCTAATTGGTGAATTAAAGTGAAGTTCATCTGAGTTTGAACAAGAAAGTGCTGCTTGTTGCTTGGGATGAAATCATTTTTGTTCCCCACAGGAGTTGTTGATGTGCAAAGGCAGGAGAGGCGAACCTCTGCAGAGTTTCAGCTCTTTTATTTACCTTCCACTTTCTGATGGTTGTCCAGATAAAAAAAAAATCCCTGATGAAATAAACTCAATTTTATGGCTGTGTGAAGATTTTCAAAGGGCAGGACACTTTTATGAACCACCATAGGTTGAAGCAGCATCAAACAGATCAGTGTTGCTCAAAAAGATCTGCAGATTAGAGGCTAACAACGACAAACAGACAACAACAAAAACGGGCGACTCATTTGCCCACAGCGAACGACGAGCTTTCCTCCGTTTCATCCCGCCTCTTCGTCATTGTCTGGGTTCACAGACGCAGACGAACCCCTCTTTTTTGTCTGATCCCGCCCATCGCCCCATCGTGGCCATTCATCCTCCGCCGCTCTGATGAGCGCGGCCGCCGGCGCATCCTTCATCTCTTCGCGGGGCTCGCGTTGCGTCATCAAGGAAGGTTAAAAGGGTAAATGGATGCGAGGGCCGCTCAGATGTCCGTGTGTTCTCCCCAGATGAATGCCCTCACGTAAAAATATGTCCACACACACACACACACAAACAACCTCTGATGTTGAATGAATAAACACAATCAGGGGGCCACACATGGAAGCTCATGCAGCTGAGATCCGCTCACCAGGAACGGTCCCAGTCGCACACACGTCCCGCCGCCTGACGGGATGTGGCGGATAAGCCAGAACAAGAGATACGCTGTTTATGAGCCGAGACTCGGACGGCAGACATCTGGCCCTGACACCGAGCTGCAGGTCATTATTCTTCCCCCCCGCCACTGTTTCTCCTCGGCTCGTGTGTTGGGACATTCCTCATACAGACGTGGTTCGAAGCTCACCGTGTCATAAAAAAAAAAAAAAAGCCTCTCTCACACTCAAACACACACACACGCATCCACACGAGACGTGGAAGCGAAGCAAAACCGAAAAGGCTCGCAAACTCCTTTCACCCCCCGGCCCGTCGCGCAGGACAAACGTTGTTAGCGACTAATAGCTGGGGAGGAGGCGTCTGCTGCTACCTGGAGGGAGATTAATGCCTCCACTGTGTGATTGTGTGAGTGATGAAGATGCTGTTGATTTTCTAATTGCTTCCTTTGGTGGCTGTTTCCTGGCTAATGAGGCTCAGAGAGCATTAGCAGGTAAAGTGTGCTGGATGAGGGATAGCGTAATCTGGTTAGCGCTAATGTAACGTCGCCAAATCTGATGCGATCTAATCTAATCGAGGATCTGGAACGGCAGCACTCTGCGTGTCCATATTTGTCTGTGTTTTGTTCAGGGCACGTCCTGAGGCACGAGGCGCGCGCGCGCACACACACACACACACACACACACACACACGCACAGAGGTGATAAAAC